CTACTGAGTGATGGCACGCTCCTGGTGAGCTAGCTTAGTCCTCGTGCGGAGCTCCTCCATGGCCTAGAGCAAATCATCCCGCTCCTTCCATAGTCATTTAGCCTCCACGATGTCCGTGCGTGCCCTCTCGATTAGGGCCGTGAGCTTCTCCTTGGCCTCATGGGCATCATTGCGAGCGTCCTTCTCCCAGACTCGGAGGCCGGCCACCTCCTGACGGGTGGCAGTGAGCTGTGCGGCTAGCCCCTCAGTCCACCGCATCTCCTCAACCTAGAACTGGGACTTCTCTCGGCTGTGGGCCATAAGGATCTACAAAGAAGACAAGACTTAGAGCCGCGGAAGGAGAACATAAGGGTTGGAAGCATGGTCATATCATACCTGGCCAACCGGGGCGACAATGTCACGCATCAAGTTCATCATTGTGGTCAGGGCGCGAACTACGTCCCCAACCTCCGTGTGGATGCTCCCCCATTTCCTCTCCTTTGTCACTTCATCAATGGCAGCCACCCGGACTAGAGACCGGGACGTCCCCGCGCCGACCTCAAGCGGCGTAGACCTCTCTAGCGGCGGTAGCACCTCTAGAGCGGCTCCTCTAGCGATGGAGGGGGCGGGTGATGTGGACATGGATGCCTGCCCTATCGCCACATTCGTAAAGGATGACTCAGGTGTGCCCCCTTCCGTCCGCCCCATCGAGAACATGGCCACCTGCATGGACAACGGCTCCGGACATGTCGCCTCTGCCTGCGACGTCGAGGATACGACCGCCGTGCCGCGCCCGCCACGGGCGCCTCGGACGCACCCTCTCCCAACACAGCCATCTGCTGCACCTCCCCGGTCGACACCATGGCCGCCCCAATGCCACTCACACTCACCACTAGTGCGGCACCAATCGACTCCTGGCGCGTTTTTGCGGAGGAGGATCTTTTTGGAGCGAGCCAAAGGAGAGTCCCATGACCTCCAATGCTGCAAGGGACATGGCGGTCAGTTCATAGCAAAAATTTGTTAGGACAAAAGGATGACAAAAACTCTTGACTCACCTTGATGCCATCATATGAGGATGTTTTGGGGCCAGCTTGCCCGACCTCGGCTGCTCCTTGTCGACACGTTACCGCTTTGAGCCCTCCCTCGGCTCGGAGGGCTCGAGACGAATCAAAACAGACGCCTCCGTCGACTTTGGAGGCATTGTTGAGGGCTCGGATGGAGCGGGGTGACCTATTTCCACCGGCTCCAAGGCCACCGTCGAAGGCCTAGACGAGGCAAGGCGGCCTGGCTCCATCGGTTCCAAGGCTGCCGTCGAAGGTCCATACACGGTGGGGCGGTTCATTTCGCCAGCTCCGGGGTGCGTCCTCCCCCTCCTGCCTCGCGACATGCCATGGGAAGGGACCCGCCTACGGCGAAGGCGAGTCCTTGTCCTCGGTGGCCAGATCATCCCATGGGATGGGCGACATGGAGCCGTCATCCTCCTCCTCTTCTTCTTCCTCCTCTTTTTTCGGCGAGCCTTGACACCACTTCCCTTGCTGTAGATTCAATCACTGCTTCAACCATTGTTTCTTCTCCTCGTCATCCTTCTTCTTCCATTGTTCATCCATGGCATGATTCGCCACCCTCATGGCCGCGTGCTCTGGTAGCGGCACGGTGGAGTCCTGGAAGACAAGCCCTGCCGGTAGCTCGATGAAGCCCGCGTCCGGACGCATCACGGATGCCTAGGATCATGAACATGGCGTCGGCCTCCCCCATGGCCTCCTTGATGCGCTGCACAACCTCGCTGTCATAGAGCAACCCCTGGGCAAGCGTCGTCCCAATGAGTTGTGCGCTGGGCGTCATCCCTTACAGCGGGAGGACGCGAGCCATCAGGGGTGCCAACCTCCTTGCATGATACCCCCCCAATGATGCCAGCCCCGCGGAGGCCGTGGGTCTTTAGGAAAGCGATGGCATCAAGGAGATCACGCATCATCTTCTTCTCCTTGACAGGTGGCCCCCACGGCCATGACGGCGGAACCTCTTCGATCAAACGCCCGGAGAAGACAGGCAAAGGTGTGGCAGGGTCATCCTTTAGGTAGAACTAATGCGAGTGCCACCCCTTGTTGGATCCAGACAGCTGGCAGGGCATGTCCTCGGCCGCCCGCTGCCCTCGGAGGCGGATGCCCGCGCATCCCATCGACACTGGGGTCTCCCGACCTCTCTCCTTCTTCATCAAGGAGATGGAGAAGAAATATCTCTAGGGCTCGAAGTGGGGCCCGATCCCCAAGTATCCCTCGCACATCGATGTGATGGATCCCATTGGGGTTCAAGTGCTGCAGCTCGATCTGATAATGGTGCAGCAGACCCCGAAAGAATGGGTGAGGAGGAATCACGAGTCCGCGCTCATGGAAGAGCACGAAGGAGATGACGTAGCCGTCAGGTGGCGCCGATGCCTCCTCGCGGCCGGGCACAAGCCACTCCACCGCATCGGTCCTCCCACGGAGAAGACCACGCTTAACGTGGCCCTCCATGCATGCATAGGTAACATTGGAGCGATGCCACGAATCCATGGAGGATGGAGGAGGCTGAGCAAAAGCGGCGACGGAGGAAGCAAAGGCGAACTAGCAAGCGGAGAAGTGGTGGGCTGCAGATCTAGCGGTTTTGTGTGTAGAAACTGAAGCAAGCTATTTATAAAGGCGGAGCGGGCGAGAGAGGCAAAATGGAGGCGGTGGAGAAACATAGAAGGTAAGACGTAATCTCTATCCGCGCCCTCAAAGGACAATTTTGGTGTATAGAAACAAGAATGAAAGGAGGCGCTGAGCTGAAAATCCTATATAAGGCGGAGCTCGGACCAAGCCCAAGGAGAATGGGCCCACTAGTACAGTACGACATGAGTCACATCCCGACCCATGTTTGAGTGTTGGTTGGTTCACGGTCCATGGTCTTTTCGATCGGATCCTTGGAACCGGTCGAACGGACCAGGGATATGGAATCAAGAAAAAATCTTTCCGACCTCCCGAACCCCCATGAATGGGAAGTCGGGGCCCCATGCCCCAAGAAGACCATGTTTTGTCCATCGAAAAAAGAGAACAGCCATCCCTCCGTTTTATTGACATGCGTTTGAGGGGCTACGATCAAAAAAGGCCACCTTTGACGAGTCCTCCGTCGTGGGGACTCAAGGAAAAGCCTTCAAACCGAGTATTCTACCTCTGCTCCGGGCTCGAGGGCTACTATCGATCGGATATTAGGGGGACGGAAAGTAAGGAAGTTCTTTCCACCTAACTTCTCCAGATGGAGCAAGATGCCCCAAAAAGGTCTCGTCCGCCCCAAGGCCGTGGGGTCTCATCCCCAAGGACATGCGGGCTCAAGTCAGGCCAAGTCCTCCGTTCTCCCTTCAAAGGAGTATTCCTTCAAAGGAGTATTCTACCTTGCAGAGGCTTGAGGGCTACTATCGGGTATCGATATTAGGGATACACAAAGTAAGGGCTCCATCGGTCTCATCCGACCCCAAGGCCGTGGGGGTCTCACCCAAGGCCGCGGGCTCCGTCTCGCCCAACCCCTTGCGTGCAGGCTCCATCTTGCCTGACCCTAAGGACACGGTTTCTGTCTCACCCAAGGCCGCGGGCTCCGTCTCGCCCGATCCCTTGGGTGCAGGTTCCGTCTCGCCCAACCCCTTGGCCGTGGGCTCCGTCTCGCCCGACCCCTTGGGTGCGGGCTCCATCTCGCCCGACCCCAAGAGCGTGGTTTCCGTCTCACCCAAGGGCGCGAGCTCTGTCTCGCCCGACCCCTTGGGTGCGAGCTTCGTCTCGCCCGACCCCAAAGATGCGGTTTCCATCTCGTCCGACGGGGACCCATATCACCGCCAACCACTTCAAGTCCAAGCGTATGGGCCTGGGTCAAAACTCTGACACCAGGAAAGAGACTAGCACACCTCGATGTAACACGTGGCCATGACGGGCCATGCCTAGGTATTCACATCAATAACAGTGTCGGGTGTGCGGTGCTATTCTACCTAACCCTCGCACGAACGCTGACAGGCGTGTCAGTTCACCACGACGTCCGCCAGGACGTAATGGAACGCCGTGACCGGCAAATGATGCCTACGCATGACGCCAGTGACGAATAGGGCCGTGACGTGGAGCCGTCCCTGTTGACATCTACAGGATCGGCGGGACCCGCATGAAGAAGAAGAAGGACCCGACAATCCTAGAAGCCTTCTTCTCTCTCATTCTTCTCATTTTCCTCCGCTATAATCCGCGTTTTCCCTTCGCCTATAAAAGGGGAAGCAGCGCCCCTACCGGGAACGGAACCATGAGATAAAAACACAAAAGCACGACACGAACACACGGCTGAGGCGATCGAGCTCTCAGCACCCGTTCACTCCTTCCATCAGATACTTGGGATCATTTCCCTCTCTCGCATGTTTGTAACTCCTACCGTAAACCAAGTGCCGGTAATACGAGCAGCAGTAAACTGGACGTAGGGACGTTCCGCCCGAACCAGTATAAACCCTTGTATCCTCCGAGCACGCTATCCAAGCCAGACGCGAAAATACAAATTTACTCGTCGGTGATCCGAAAGCACCGACAATTAGGTATACATATATAGAAGATATAGATATATATTAGCTAGCGGTATTGCACTCCTTTTTGTTTTGTTTTGTTTTGTTTTCCTCTCCTAGACGGTTGGGGTTGGAGAATTGCACAAAGTCTGGAGGAAGATATTTTTGCGTGGGATGTGGGATGCGGCAATTGCGACCTATGTTTTGATGAAATTGAATGATCAAAACGAAAGGAACGTGCAACGAAAAAAAAACGGGAGGTAATTGGTGGACTTGTGTAATAATCTGTATAGAGCGCAACTGCGCAAGCCGAAGCCAACGCGGGTCCGGGGAGATGACACAACAATTTGTTTTGATTTTCGCGCCCGGTTGGGAAGGGAGGGGGAGCGATGTAGTGGGCCGGGCCCGTTTCCACTTCCATATACATGAATGATCCATATACGGCCGGCGTCCGCGGCTCTACCGCGCTACGCGCCTCGAGATGGGAAATCCCCAAATCCACAGCCCTGCGGCGGCGATCAAACCATTGATCGAGGAGCACACCAGGCGCGAGATGTCCGATTCCTCCACCTCGGCGACAGATTACTCGCCGGGAATGGCGGCCGTGGCTGGGGAAAAGGGTGAGAAGAAGGGGAAGAACAGAGTCGGGTCAGAGCTGGCGGCGGCGGCGGCAGAGGAGGTGGACGGCCTAGCCGTTGCCAAGAAGAAGTGGAGGGTACCGCAGGATCTGATCGACTTCATCCTCGCATGGGACGTTTCCGACTACGTCTTCGCGACGCCCGACGACATGCCCATCTCCGACGAGCACAAGGCGCAGTACCGCGCCGAGAGGAAGCAGGCCGTCGCGGTCATGCAGCGGAGTCGCCGCACGAGGAGGAAGATGCAGGAGTGGGTCAGGGCTGAGTTGGAGAAGAACGGCTGTGTCGAGGTTGAAACCACAGCCGAGATGCTTGAAAAGCATCATCAGCTTGAGGAATACATCGATGGCCAAATTGCTTAAATATTTGCTGTCGTAGCAACAGTGGGATTGCTGGCATTGGACCATCTACCATCCTTGGTAGTACAGTACATCATATGTTCTGTCGATTTGAAGTTTAATCTTTCTCTGTGTCGATTGAAGTTTAATCTGTCCATTGAGTCTGTTTATTGACAGTAGAGAATTGCGTTTACAAACATGCACGCGTGATCTTTTTGATGACGCAGATAAACTGTGTCATGGTTAATGCATGGCTATTAATGAGACCAGGGAATTCTCTGTCACCTTCCATATACTGTGTGAACATTGCATCTACTGTCTATCTTTCAGTTATTTTTCTTTTGTACCGATGGTTGGATTCGTGACTTTGGGACGGTTTTTATGTTTGTTCTGAAATTTCTAGATACAGATAAACGGAGCACTTCTGCAGATCTTTATGATTGGTTAAGCTTGCCTTAACACTGGTGTCAGACATGATACCACTTAAATGATGTTTGCTATTATGTTCATGAAAGTGCGCCAATTTGCTTTGCTTACCATGCTTATGGTTCCTATACTATCTTTTAGACCAAGCCGTAGAGAGTGGTCTCTTGTTTTCTCTAGAATTGTAGGATAGCAGTGTTTTATCACACTAGTAGATGCCAATTTCTGTTGACACCTGTGTTTTTTTCACTGACGGTTCATAATGAATAGGTGCCAGTAGAAACAAACATGTGGATCTATTGCTATTACCCGCTAGTAGACATACATGTATACTAGCGGTGGTCTTAAAAACACAATTAGTGTATAGGTCCCGTTTGGTTGACGACCGCATTGTGCCACAACTCAGCATGCTAAGCTTTGGCGTTCTTGGCCCTGTTTGATCCCTCCAGTTTTTACTAGTTTTTCATAATATGGCTTTTGGAAACCAGGTGGGATCCAAACAAGCCAGTTTTTACCGTCAGGTTTTGCCAGATTTCTTAAAAAACAGGAAGTTGTTCATATCTAGCTTTTGTCAGTTTTTTGTGATCCATAGAGCAATAAATAAAGTCAGATTCTTAAAAATTGGGATCCAAACATCCACCAAATTTTAGAAACTAGAGACAAAAACCGGTTTTTAAGAATCCAAAACTAATTCTAAACAAGGCATTAGCCACCGTTTGGTTGCTGACGCAACTCTGGCGTGCCGCAGAAAGCTGCTGCTTCTGTTTATTTTGCTGCAACTTCTCGCCAAAAGTTGGCCGCACAAAATCAGCGGCGCAACTTGCCGAACCATAGACGCGCCATAGTTCAGTTGTGGTAGGTTGTGGCATCCAACTAAATAGGGCCTTACAGTGTAAATCTAGTGCTCTTAAGCCAACCATTAGTGTAAGTTAAGTCCATTCATGTGGTTTTTTTATACCCACCGCCAATATAGAAATGTTTACAGATGTTCTTACTGAGGTCACTCATTACATATATAACTTTGGTTTCAACATCTACAATTTTAAATAAATGGTCTCTGAAATGGAGGATTCAACTAAACAAATTTGATGTTACTGCTGCATTTTTTTTTCATAATTTGATTAGATTTAAATAGTTTTATTTAGAACAAACCGACACTAAAAAATAGTTAATTTATGTGGTAGTGACAGGCTAGAGAGTAGTGCCGTGACTTGACACGCTAGGCAGATAGTAGTATACTCAGCACTCGTCCTATCGAGCGCCAGCACTCAGCTGCAGCCTTTATCTTGCACGCATTGCCATTTGCCAACGTGGTTTCCGTCAGGTCAAGCTCAGGTTTGGTTGGCCAACGTCTCCAACGAACGCGACGACGTGCCGGCGGCAGTCGGCCAGTGGCCAACCCCCAACAGATCGAACCCTGCGCGAGCGCGACCTCCCATCACTGCCGGTCGTCGCCGTCGGGATACGGAACGCAGACGCGCATACACGCTGACTGGTGGGCCCAGTTGGCCACTTCTATAGTTGTAGCAGTGCCGTGCTACGCGGGGAACTCTCCTGGACCTGGAGTGTTCACGTTAGCAGCCAACTCTCCTGGAATGTTCACAGAAGCAGCCTCAGCGGGACTCTCATCGCCTTGACTTAACTTTGACGATAGCACGGCTAGTCCAGCTTCGAGCCGGCTGCTGGAGGGCCAACGGTATCTTTTAGTTTATATATATGGTTTTTTTATGTTATATCCTACGAAATCAACATGGCTTCATTTGTTTTAACTAAGAAAATATTAAAATTTACAATGAATTACAACCTCCGGCCAAATATTCCAATATTTCAATGTGAAATTCGCATTGGTGTCTTGTGTTCGACCTTGCATATAGTCTAGCTTTGGTTTTCCAAATCGCCTTGAATGTGCTGGGCTTAGACCACTTTTGAAGTTGTGGCCTTTTTTCGGATATGTTGCCTGTTTGGTTTATTAGGATGTACGAGGATGACATAAGACCAATTTAAGTCGAGATTTTATATCCCACCTTTCAAGACTCTCGGAGCTCTTCGCCTCTAATCCTATGAGAGAAATGATTGATCTAAAGGAGTCATCATGTGTTGGAAATAGAGCAAAAAAATCCTAGCGACCCCATCGGGCAGCTAGACGCGCTCACTATCACAAATCACAAGTCATGCGATTTTTCACACGTTCAAACCCACAAACTCCGGTCTCGTGCGTATCTCCCTGAACTACTCCACCAATAAATCACTTGTGTTCATAAGATATTTGTCCTTCTAAGTTTATCCTCATCCGATTTTGAAATGAGTATTTGGGACCCTAAGCGAATTCAAATGAAAATATTGTCAACTAAAAAGTTGTATAATTTTTTAGATCTACAACTTTCGTTTTGGTAGTTTCTCCATCCCAGATAGTTTGAAAAAAATGAATTTTAAATATGAGAAATTCAAACTTAATTTTCTTTAGATAGGTGATTTTGAATGAAAATGTTGTCAACTACAAAGTTATATAACTTTTCAATATCTACAACTTTTGTTTTGGTCATTTTCCATCCGAGAATGTTTGAAAAAAAAATCAAATTTCAATATGACAGGACTTATGAATTTTACTGTTCGGCGCTCATATTTAGAGGTGGCTCAGCCATCTATAGAATTGATTTATAGGGCTGTCTTTGAAAATAGAGCTATTTGTAGAGGCGGCTGAAGCAGCTGCTCATATAAATGCATTTCTAGAGGTGACTTGTTTCGGGAACCATATTTTGAAGCGGTTTTAGATTGGGCAATCCTTAATGAAAAGGAGGTGTCTCTATAAATGCTTTTTTAATAGTTCCAGTCTCAAATAAAAGAATTTTAAAGGCACAATTCCCTTAAAAATCTCTATCTACAATTCTATATATAATATTCAAAGAAAAAATTTCTCTCCCCACTATTTCATCTATGAGCCATTCCGCACCTCATGTCACTCTTCTTCGTCTGCATCTCACCCTTGCGGGCTACACATTTTCGGCTGATATCCAACATGAGACTACATTTTCAATCCAAAACTAGCACGATCTTAAAAGTTAAATCCAACATGAGACCACATTTGGATTTCAAAACCAGCACGATCTAAATCCAACACGAGATCATATTTTGAACAGGGCACTTTAACCATATTACGAAGTTCGGTTTCAAAACAAATTAGAAGAGATAATAAGATGATATAATTGTTGCTCAAATCTCCAAGTGATAAGTCGTCCAAATAACATGCATGCTAGTTCGTCAACGTTTTATTATTTTACGTGGAGTCGGTACCTACAGTACAAATAAATTAGCAATGTCGTTGTCACGGATTTGGTGTTTTTAAAATATTTTGTTATACTCTCCCTTTCTGCAGATTCTCCGGTACGTACAAAATCTGAGACAGAGCAACATTGGTAGTTATGCAACCCCTCCAAACCCCAACAGTTTTGCATCGGCCCCTCCGACCTAGCTTGACGTACTCCTTCAAGTTCAACTGTTCAAGCAAGCCGCCATTGCTATATAAACACTGCCTCACAGAACCCCTATACTCAAATCACAAACTCCACTCTCTCTCTCTCTCTCTCTCTCTCTCTTCGTCTCATTCTCTCTCTAGTCTCTACGAGATCATCCCACACATACAGACACTATCTGTCTCTCCGACCCACGCACATCGTCAACTATGGTGAGTGACATGCATGCCTATAGTAACAATCATACAGTATGTTGCAAACATGCATGTCGATCTGTGACGCTTCCATTTGTTGCCATGTCACCTTTCTCTTCGCGTGACGAACGCAGGTTGTGGAGATGAAGGAGAACGGCGGCGCGATGGTGGCAGCGGCAGGCGAGAAGCAGCAGCAGGCGCCGCAGCTGATGAGCGTGAAGCGCGGGAAGGCGACGCTGGTGCCGCCGGCGGAGGCGACGCCGACGGGCGGGCAGTACTACCTGTCGAACCTGGACCAGAACATCGCGGTGATCGTGCAGACGGTGTACTGCTACAAGCCGGGCGACGGCAAGGGCGACGTGGCGGGCGCGCTCCGCGACGCGCTGGCGCGCGTGCTGGTGCACTATCACCCGCTGGCGGGGCGGCTGGGGATCAGCCCGGAGATGAAGCTGACGGTGGAGCTCACCGGCGAGGGCGCCGTCTTCGTGGAGGCCGACGCCGCCTGCGACCTCGCGGACGTCGGCGACCTCACCAAGCCCGACCCGGCCGCGCTCGGCCAGCTCGTCTACTCCGTCCCCGGGGCCAAGCACATCCTCGAGATGCCCCCCATGACCGCGCAGGTAGGTACCTAGTGCAGTCCTACTACGCCAGACACGTCATTAACTGCTCCTTGCACATCTGCGGTTGGGTATCCGGCCTCCGGCGGCCGAGGTGGCCAGCCCGGGTTTCCATGCCTGTGCCACCAATGAGCCGTGCCGTGCCGTTAAAATGGCGAAAGGGATCGGAGAGGAGGGAGGTGAAGAGCTGCTGGCTCGTCCGCGCATGGCGGCATGGGAGCAGGTGGACGTGTTGCTTTTAGTGCGACCGCGTGAATTCATGGGCTAGAGTTGTTGGTCAGTTGGAGATGTATTCAATGAGATGAGATGCCTCTTTGGTT